GGCAGGTCACCCAGGAACTAATGTTGGAGCCACAAAGCGGTGCTGCCTCCAGGGAGCCACCACTAGGGGGCATTCTGCCCTTGTCTACTCCATGTCGGCAGTGTTTTCTTTTTCCTTATGGGGATGTGGGCCCGGGTGACATTCATATAGGTTTTCCCTCCCTCGCGGTTTCCTTCGGACCAAATGTCTTGGCTCCTTCGGTATCGGAAAGTTTTCGATCCATGTCAATGTGTCTGCCAGAATTTGTCACCATCATTGCAGGTCTGAGAGCAGAACCTTTGACAAAGGACACACGATGAGTTAAAAGGCCTGTGCGCTAGTGGAAGCCAGATTTTCTGTCCTGAAGCAGGACACGGAAAGACTGGCTTTCAGGAGAACCATCAAAGAGCTCAAGGCTTCTGCCACCGAGAAGGCAGCGTTCTCATTAATTGATCATTTGGTGTGCACGCTCAGCAGATGAACGGGGATTCTGCTCAGACGCGGTGAATCCCCGGGGCCCTGTTGTGGATCTCCAGATAAAGCTCAGAGAACCCACGGGCTCATTTTCCCTCCTTCCGTATCATCTGAGGACTCCTCAGAGTGGCGAGGCAACTGTGATACAGTGGCACAGGATAAAGGGTCCCTGGCTAATGTTGACAAGTGACACCTGGGGCGCGCAGGGACGGCAATTTCCGGGCAGCTTCTGACACCTCTAAGTCCAGATGTGTGATGAGGCCAGACATCCAGATGGGAAAAAATGCCTGTTCTCTCTCTAAAAAAAAAAACCAAACTCTTCCCTCCATCGGAATCAATAGCACTTTAAACGTCTGATGGTCCCCACGTGAGGACGACGCCAATACCCATCGGCAGCCCACTCCAAATCACATAGGTCTGGTTGCTCGTTTTTGTGGGCTGAACAGGTCAGGGCAGCACGGCCTCAGCGACCAGTGTCTCACGCCCCGGGGGATGGCCATGTGAGCAGATGCCCGCAGACCTGGGTGCACAGGTGGGGCTGTGACCCATCTGCAGAAAGATGAACATGTGGCAGGGGACCGCAGGGGAGGGAGGCAGGCGGGGAGGGAAAAAACGACGCAGGAAATCCTGAGGCTTCAAATGGGGCTCAAGGGAAAAATAAAACGGGGGTCAAGGCAGAAGGTGCCGCTAGGGCAGTCACACGGTTTAAAGGCACACCGGACTTCATTTCCTGGACAGTTTTAATTTGCTGGTTTAAATGCAGGTGCCCCGCCATCAACTCAGCCTGCTAGAAAGTTTTTTGTTGGTGTTTTTGTTTACAAAAGATGACCAGAGATATCCAAAACAAAAGGAAACAAAAACACTTGAGAGTGGATTGTGCACATTTCCCAAAGCCCCCAAGCAGCGGTGGACTTGGAGGGAAGAAAGCGGGGCTCCGAAGGTGGGAGGTGGAATGACTGAGGAAGATGAATTTCCCCCCAGGCGAGCTCTGGCTACCCAGAGTCACAGGTAGAATTCTTGGATTTTAAGAAAGCAAAACAAACGAAGACCACCGTTTGCACAGTGCTGCTCCGGAGGCCTGCCAGCGCCTTCCTGTGCAGACAAACAGAGCTTGAGGCAGTCCTGGTGGCTGGGCTGTGTTCTCTCCACGTCTATATCTGTCATTTTCTCACACCTGAGGCGTTTTCCAATTGCTTTGACACCTGAAACACGGTTACCTGCCTCCCCACGTTCAGGTGGGCAAGCAGATGTCACCACGAGAGTTCATGAGGGGATCTAGGTGAGCTCTTCTCTCAGTATCAGCTCTACATGTGCACTTTTACAAGGTTGCCCCCCCTGACTCCCCCCCGGCCCACAGAGGGGACATCATCTGTATGTGATATTCAGATATTTGCATCCTGATCTGACGTTCATTTCCGACCTTCTTCCATTGCTTCTCTTCTTTCCCCTCCGCCATAGCCGGCCCTGCCCCTGCACACGTGTCACTGACAGCAGAGGGAAAGGGTTTGACAAGAGAAACACATGTGCTTTCCGTATGAATCTTCCCATAAAATCTGTGAACTGGTTATGGTATAATTTCTAGTATATAAAACTTACGGTAAGAAAAAGGATAACAAGGCCATCTGTTGATAGGTACCTACTTTAGTTCACAGGAGCGAGTGTCTTTAAATGCGCAGGGAGCGCCACCATCTCTCTCTCCTCTTTCTCTGGAGAGGTGGAGACTGCAGGCAGGCTTGCCAGTCCTGCCTGCTCCACCAAGCTTCTGACCAACTCGGAGCTCCCTGTTCTGCGACGGTAGCAACCAGGTCACTAGACTTGAAAGCAAATGGGGCAATGAAACGAGTTGCCTTTGTTTCCCATAAGAGTGACTCAACCCAACACGACTAAGTCTTCTTTCTAATGTGACAGGGCAGGACACCAGTCTGCTGAAGGAGGGCACACGCTGGGATGAGTTTGGCTCCAGTATCAGCAGAAAGGTAATTATTCCTGGGCTTCCTTGCTTCATCCAGGAGAAGGAATACTTAACTCTCGTTGGATAGAAGGTAAGGTAAGGTTAATTCTGTCGTCCCCCCCCCCACAGCCCATTAGAATGTGTATAGGGAAATTTTATCATGTCGGAACTAGGGATGTCTTATAAGCACATGCTACTTTCCATTAGCATAAAAATGTTCCGCTGGTCTACCTGGCTGATAACATTTCCCAGAGCTCGCAAATAACAGAGAAACAAATTTCATCACAGAGTTTAAACATTTAATGACAAAATTAGGATTTTGCGGTAATAGTGAATCAATAGAGCAGGTGTGGCTTGTCTCTGAATGAAACAAAGTATATTTGACACCTTAAAGAACTTGCGAAGAATCAGTAAGTGTACAACTGACATCAGCAATATGACACTTTTGAAAAGTTAAGGGCGACTTCTACCTTTAGTGGCCCTTTTAGGGCACCAGGGGGATGTGTTCACATACATACACAATCTTTGCTAGCCACAAAAGTAGGATTAAGACAAGTTTCACGGCAATTTTAACTTTAACACATAAATCATTATTTTACTTGTTTATTTTTTCAGAGCTTAAAAAAGTTAACTAGTGATCATGTTACATTTTACAAATCCATTCTTTAATAGGAAACATTAACCTGAATAATGGTGTACTTCCTGTACACAGATACCTACTAATACTAGTGAAGAAGCCTACAGCTACATCCAGGGAGAGGGAGCAACGCCGGACAGCTTCCTTTCTCAATGAGCTGTCAGTGCAATTTAAGAAGTCCTTCATAGAAAGAGAGCACCACCCCCCCCCCCCCCCAATTTATACTGAAGTGCAGAGATAAACAAATTAAAAGTCTTCTTAGCAAGCTCAACCAAACACATTGGTCCCAAAGGATGTGAGCCATTTCAGCAACGTTCTCTCCTTTGGACTGTCTTGATACTTTGTATCGCAGCCCCTTCTACATCAGGGCAGCAAAGACCACCACGCACATGGGTTTACACAGGACTCTTCTGCCAGAGGCTGGAGGTCGAGGAGAGACAGGGATTGCTGTGAGAACCTCTCTCTCTCTCTCTCTTCACCCAGGATGAACTTTGACACAGGGAACTCACCTTATAGAAGGAAATCAATGAAGGAAACGAATAAAGATTCAGGTGGGCTGCCTTTGAATCCAGGCACTTTCTCAATAAGACTCACATCCGAAAGGGCATACGGAGGAGGAAAGAGGGCCAGGAGCAGAATCTTTAGTTTTGAAGAGTAACAATCACGATTCCACCAGGGAGAAAGGGCCTCCAATTTCACAGTATGCGTACGACCTCATCTTCCACGACGTTAGAAGTAACTTCCCCAACACTGTCACTAGACAGTTGGCAACGGAGTTTGTTCTTGAGGGTGGCTGACTATCAGGTGTTTTAGATTTACCCTTTAAATGATTTATGCTGACACTCCCTCTCTGAAGCAAAAATCCAACTTGAGAAGATGAATGGAGAGATATATTCATCTTCTATGTGAGGCGGCTTCAAGAAGTGGGTGGATCCTGGAATTACAAGACGATGTGTGTGCATGTGTGTGCTTTCTGAACCAAGGTCTGCCTGCAAACAAATCCTACGTGAAATGACATTGATCTCCTTATCCTTTTTCAGAAGTTCTACAAGCCTCTACTGACACTCCCCAGATGCAAGTCCCTACTTCTTTAAGCGTTCAAGACACCAAAAAGAAAAGACAAAGTACAAAACGGTAAACTTTGCTATATACATTTTTATATTCTTTCACTGGATCATCTCCCTAAGAGGATTCAGAAATGGGACTCGGGCAGATATCATCTCCATTTTGACATGAAGTGCCAAAGGTATCTACCCCCTCCATCCCCAATAACCCAACATCTCGGTATCCCTAGGGCTGCCTTGTTAGGAGACCTCGAACTATTTACATCAACACTAATCATCCCCCAATCACCTTAGACTGCTAGGTAAGAAGCTACAGTTCGCTTGGGCTCAACTGGCTCAACGGAGAGCAAGGAACGGAAAAGGGTCCTAAAGACTCCGGAAGGGTAAAGTCAAAGCATTGCAGTGGGAATCTGAGGATGCGTCTGGAAGCTCAGCTCGCCTCCTCGCTCCCGAAGAAAGAGCACAGCTTCCAAGCCTGCAGGACACCTCTCTATGGAACAGAGGCTGCAGACGCCAAACCCAGTATTATCTGGAGCAGCCCAGGGTCGGAGGTGTGCCACCGACTTCAGTCTGACAGCAGGGTAAAGGCTTCCTGGCTGTACGGCCTTCTGCCACAGCGAGGGAGCTACTGCCATCCCCAGGAAATGCAGTTTGTCAAGGAAACCATAATTACATTAGATAGACAACAACGACCATATCAACACCCTCCACCCCCACCCCAAAATCGAGGAACAAAAGGCCATTTACCCAAGGACAGTGTGAAAGAGTTTCTAGAAAGAAAGGCATGGCTTTGTTTAAAAAAACAAAAACAAAAGAAAAAAGATTTTCAATGTAGTATCTTTTCACATTATCATATACCCAGAGCTTTATCTGGACAAATCAACACGCCCCCCCCCCCAAATCAATTCTTGATAAAATTCCAAGTTCTTTTCAATACCAGCTACTGCCCTTGGGTACAATGACCAAAGAGAGAAAAAGCCAAAAAAACACAGAGGCTTTACAGCAAGCAGGCTTCTGCTTGGGTCTCTCAGCTCGAGTTTTTATTCCCCATCCATTTCCAAGGAATCCGCTTGGAAACAACCACGGAAGTGTGGGCCTTTCGCACGCTCACAGTTGCCTTTGACACGACGGGAGCTGGAGAGCGGTGGCTCCGAAGGAAGATTCCAGTGGTGGTTCTGAAGTGCATTTTGGCAGGCTGGTGATGGCGCGGGCAGAAGATGCCCACGCCAAGAACAAAATCCACGACTGCCGTGTCCCTTGCTACGTCTGACGGCTCCCCTGGCACAGGATGAGTGAGCGTAGCTATGAGACCGAGAGGAACCAATTACTGCTTGACTTCATTTCCGTCCAGAAACAAGAACATCTTACGCCGCCCCACTGGAATGTTGTCCTGCTTCATACCAGGAAAAAACAAAACAAAACCCCAAACCAAACAAAATGATGCCAGCTTAGACTCAGCTCATTCGACTCAAAATTTATATTCAAACTATCACAAAACATTTTTTTTAAGGAAAACATACAAACACACACACCTATACCCAAGTGAGGAAAAAAAACTAAAAGTGAACTGAGGATGCTTTCGCAGCCTTGCTGTGTAGGGTCATGAGGGAAATGTATCACTGCAACATCTTTTCTTTCCTCTTGACCTCTGAAAAGGGCAACCGAGACAACCGATGTCCATCCAGGGAGAAGAGAAGCGAGTGGAGGTCCAGGATTCGTGTCAAAACCGCCGAGCCAACTCCTCCGTTCCCCTGCGGGGTCCCGGGACGGGCAGGGGTTCAACATTTGTGCTTCATGGCGAGCTGAGGAGAGAAGGATGATACAGTCAGGCCTGAGCACCAGCGGGTTTGCTCTTTTCCAGGTTTTTTATTTGAATTTTTTAGTGTGAATCACGTGGAGGGACGGCTGAAACAAGGTATCAAACTTCCCAATGGCCTGTCCTGGCTCCTCTCTTCCTGCCCCCCTCCCCACCCCTTCTGGTATATTATTGCCCCCTTCACTCTTAGCTTAGTAAACACTTTTCAGAAGCAGCATTTGTTTTACTTGGTGAAGCTGAAGAAGCAACTTTTTTTTAAAACCAGGTGAAGAAGCAACAATGTAAACCTTGGACACCAGCGAGATTGTCCCATTCAAGTGAGCACTGCATTTGCTAATTCTGCCTGTCTGTCCTGGTGGAGAAGAGTACTGGGTGGTGGTCTTCCCACCTGTGGTAGTTACATAATCTGGTGTCAATTTGAGAATTATGAGTGTAGGGGTGGAGTCTAGCCCGTCGATCCAGAGATAGCCAACAAGACCTCTGTGTGGACATGGCCTTATCCTAAGAATTCTTGGAGATCTGATATTCCTTTTTGGAAGTGGGAGACACTCTCTCTCTCTGCTGACTCCCTGTGAGATATCTCTGAGGAGAAGCCTCATGGACCTACCCTGATGCAGCCCTAGGAGCTGGAGGAGCCCCATGGAGACCCCTGCCAGCACTGAGATGCTTATAATGCCACTGGATCCACAAGACTTATCACCCACTGGCCTGTGATCTTCCTGCATTCAGTGTCATTGCATGTGTTTTGTGAGTCTGAAGAGGGCTTTATAGACTGGTATCAGACATATGGGCTAAGTTCGGATTTATAGACCTGATCTGGACTGGGCTGGGGTGTTTTTTTCAACGTTTAATTGCTCTTGTATATAAGCCTCTTCCATATATATATATATATATGCGTGTTTACGAATGTGTTTCTCTACTCTACCCGGACTAACACCACTCCCCCCCTCCCCCTGCACTGAAGGAGCATGTGGAAAAACCAAAGCAGGGATTGGCGGGAATGAAACAAAGGGTTTTGGATGACCAGGTTACTAGTTATCCTGTAAAGCCAACACTTCTCAAATACAAGTGTTTGCTGACAGTTGGGTCGGGTCGGAACTAGGCAGCCCCCATTTGGACGAAGCTGAAGCAGGCTCGGGCCCTGCACGTCCCAGAGGTCAGCAGCAGTGAGCGCCAGAGAAGATAACCGGTGAAACCTGATGTTCCTGGTTCAAAGAAAGCCTCCAGGAGTGGACAAGCAATTCTCCCAGTTTCCAGACCCCATATGCTAATTGCCATACATTCCTCACCACCCCTTTAAAAACCCTCACCCCCAGCTGCTGAGCATGACTTCCCTGACCTGTTGGCCTAGGTCATGGAACCTCATCTGGGAGCTCCCCTAACCCCTAATCGAGCTATTTGTTTCTGCTCTCCCTTTTCCCGTCAGTTATGTCCGTCTTCCTCCCTGTCCCTCAGTTCCACCTTTACATTGGTGCCGAAACCTGAGAGAGGTAGGGACAGGCCCCCCCCTCCCCGCCTCTCTTCTCAAACGAACCTCCGGAGCCTGTCTGAATGAGCGACTTCTGGTCCGTATCTCTCTGTGTGTTCGTTCAGTCTCGTTTGTCGCTCTGGACACCGGGGACCAGCGAACTCATACTGGAACATAGGGTCCGCGGGAGGCTAACTAGCTGACACCCTGAAAAGGAACCCTAGTACCAAGAGGAGCTGCCTTCCTGAAAGGGGTGAGACGATAAGGTCAGTTTCTCATGTCCATCTCTTCTCTATCTACCGTCTCTCATGTGGCCTCCATCCTTTTGTCTCTGGGTTTACCTCCTGGGATTCCTGCTGCTAACAAAACTCCTAGCAGCCACCGCACCTTCTGCCTGGACTGGAATGCAGAGGGTGGGTCTGAGCCTCTCCTACCTGTTTGTGTGTTTTGCATCTGCAGCCCTGTGGTGCTTTCTCTAAAATGTTCTGCTTACCCTGACTCTCACCCTGAACAAAGGCCTAACTAAACTCCATTTTTACCGGCCAGAAAGCCAGGCTCCCCTCCCTCTCCTCGGCTTCCATTCTGACTCTCTCTGATCCAAGGTCCCTGTCTGCCGGTTAAAGCTGCAGGGAACTTTCCTGTTCCGGAGAGCCCAGGACTCTCCCACTGGGCCCCTAACTCTGACGGGCATGCCTCTCAGGGTTACCGGGGGCCACCTCCTGACTGACAGGTGCGAACTGGGACCAGGGGACGCCCTTCTCCTCTGTCTGTACCCCCTGCGGTTTGAGACACAATGGGAAGTCTTCTGTCCCAACCCCCTAAGGACAGTCCTTTGGGGGGCCTACTGCCAACCTTACTGAATTGGGTTTGGCTCCTGATCTCCGCCCTAAATGCCTGGTCTTTTTCTGTAACCAAGTTTGGCTTCAATACCAATTGGACATGAGTCACGCTAGCCAGAAAACAGCACTTTCGATTTTAACGTTCCCCGCAACCTCAACAATTTTTGTCAAGAAACTCACAAATAATCAGAAGTCCCATATGTTCAGGTCTTTTTCTTTTTTCCGCTCCTGTCCCGCTATACTACCTGTCACCCTGCTCAGACCTCTTAGCAAACACTCTCTTCATCAGGCCCAGACAGTACTCCCCTTCCATCTTTCTCAGGACCCCCTGACTCCTTATCTGTGTCCCCAGCAAGGCCTCCTCCACATTCTGGGTACCCCTCACCATCACCTCCTCCGCTACCCCCTCAACTCCCAAAGGCTGAGGCACTGTGCCTCGGACACCGGAGCCAGACCCCTCAGACTGCCTGGAGTCTCTCTCTCCCTCCCCTTCCCGCTCCCTCCTTGCTCAGCCTCCTCTGAGCAGTTTCACAGACCTCTCCCAGACAGGAAAGCAGAGCACAAATGCCACCCTGAGCCTGGCAGGAGGGAGGGGGCCGAAAACTCCAGGTAGCAGCAACTTTAATTGCCGCACTTTAAATTTCAATGTCCTCTGGAATCCCCACAATTTCTGCCAGTAAACTCACAAATAGTCTGAAATTCTGCATCCAGGCCGCCTTTTCCTCTGAGCTCTCATCCCTTTCTATTTCCTGCTCCCCTTCCCAAGTCCTCTTGACTAAAGAAAATTCCTCCTCTCCCCTTGCTTCTGGACCCCCTCTGGTGTCTGCCTTTGCAGACCTGCCTGAACACCTTGTCTCCCCTCCCCTCCTACTCACCCCTCTCCCTATTCTGGCCACCCAGAGTCGTTTTCTCCTGATCTACCTGCACTCGCTGGTTAGCAAGCACATGCGACCGCAGAACCCCCTTGTCCTTTGTCCACTCCGGAAGTGGCCAGGGCTGAGAGAGTGGTCTGGTTCATGTTCCCTTCTCTCTCACTGATTTATCTCAGATTAAAGTGTTTAGGCTTCTTTATAATGATCCCACCACCTATATTAAGGAGTTTAGATTTTTAACTCAAGCTTATAATTTGTCCTGGCATGATATTTTTGTCATCTTTTCCTCCACCCTAACTGCAGATAAGAGGGAACGCATTTTTCTCGCTGTTCAGCAGCACCCAAACCAGGTTCATTTAACCCATCCTGATCTAAGTGGTTCCCAGACAAAAACCTGGTTAAAGTGATCAAATTGATAATCAAGCAGGTAGGGACAGACATGCCTGCCGTAATAAAATGCTTCAGTGTGCCCTGACTTGGGTTCAGGCCATTTCCCATATAGGAGTCAATTTTGATAATCTTAAGATCACTCAAAAGCCTGATGAGAATCCAGCCCCCTTTTTAAGCTGCTTAATTGATGCTTTCCATTAAAAGCTTAAAAAGCGGAAGAAAGGGCCTGAAACCCCGGTCCGAGATTTAGCAAATATGGCATTTAAGGTTTTTAACAGCCACGAGGAGGAGCAGGCAGTCAGCCCATGAGCCTGGTTCCGGCAGAAGGTAAATTATCAACCCAAGCCTTAGTAGCAGCCCTGTGGCTGGCGATTCCCCCGAGGCCCCAGAAGGGCAGTGTGGGGCAAGGGTGTATGGGAACGACGACGGCCACCTGGTGCTTGCTTTAAGTGCAGAGAAGGGCACTGGTCACAGAAGTGCCCCAGGCCTGAAGCTCCAACCAAACCCTGCCCGGCGTGCGGTCAAAGCGGACACTGGAAGTCCGACTGTCCTTGGAAAAGTGACAGCCCTTTGCGTCTCCACATGGGGGGACTGTCCTTCCAATTCCTGACCCACCGTTGGCCCTGCTGGGATTGGCCGAAGTCTGAGGAGACCCTGACTGGACCCCCATCACCCTCGCCGAGCCTGGGGTATTGCTCAAGGTATTGGGTGAGTAGATTTCCTTCTTACACAGAAGCTATCTTTTCTGACCTGCCCTCCTTTTCAGGGCTAAGCAATCCTTCCTTAATCTCAGTCATGGATATTGAGGGCAAGCCTACCTGCCCCAGGTGTACCAGCCCTTTACTCATTCCTTCCTTAGAATCCCTTTGTGCCCTGTCCCTCTGTTGGGAAGAGACATTTTAAATTAGTTAGAAAACTCCTTATGTTAGGCAGGCTAGCATAGGGCTGGGGAATGTCTGTTAACGCCTGCCCAGAGGGCCAAGCTATGGAAACAAAGGAGTGGTGCACTGCACATGCTCAGAGGTTCAGGTTTCCTGCAGGGTAGGCATGGGTGGGTGTTGAACCTGGATTGGCCCACCTAAGCCAGGTGAATTCAATTCAGACAATGGGGCTGATCAGGGGTCGTCCACCACGTCTACCCATGGACTCCTTGAAAAGGAAGGAGCCCAGAGTCGAGTCGAGCGGCACCTTTTTGCATGACACTGAGCAGCTTCCAGCCAGGCTGCATGTTTGGGAGGAGTCCTATGGGTGCCATGTAAACCCGAAACTTCTCTCATAAAACTCACTTGGATTACAAACCAGGGTTCAACGTGAATTCTTTCTCGTGTGGAGCCAAGGACCGAGGTATAGCTCTAGCTCCAGAAATCTAACATAAGTATTGCCGTGACTGCGGATATATAAGGTAAGCCGGCTCCAGGAGCGGGCCCTCCCTTCCTGGTCTCACTGGTTTCGGGCACCTTCTTGACTCTTCACCTCACCACCCTTGGGAGACGGCGTGTAGCTGGAAAGGAAGCCAGGCTAAACTGCTCCGGCAACATCTGGGAGGTGGATGGCTCTCCGAAGCGACTCAGGGGGACACTCATAATGTATTGCCGCAGCCCATCCTGTTGTGTCCCTCTTCTCGCCTATTCTTGCTGGTGTTCGGGATTTTACGTCTGCCTTTCTGTGCTTGCCTTCCCAGGAGCTTGCATGCCTTTCCCAAGCTGGATTTCTGGGAGGGGGGTGGGACGCTGCCTGCAGGCCAGAGGATTGCCATTCCCAAAACCTTTTCGCATCTCAATGGTCTGTTTTGGGCTCTGGCCAGCTGGATGGCTGGGCACGCCTGAGTAAACTGTTGTTTCCTGCAGGACTCTGGCTCCCGTGGCTGGCCCTATGCTGGCTGTCCTCTAGGTCGCAAGCTGTGGCCACCATTTTCCAAACCATGTGAGTCGCCGCACCCTGGCAGCATGGGAAATGGAGCACGTGACCCGGCCAAGATGGTACCCACCCCTCCAACCACGTGGAGGGGCGGTGCCTAGATAGCTAGCTGGTTGCTTAGGCCTGGGAGTTGAATGTTTCCCTTTCCCCTCCATCCCCTTTAGCTTTCTACCAGCGTGGGTTTGTCCTTGCTACTGGCTGGCTTTCCATGGCCCAGGCCCAGGCCAAAGGCATACGGAAGCCAAGCCCGAGTAACTGTTAACTTTCACCTTCCGGTGATGCTACCTCCGGCACTTTCTGGGACAGTCCTTAATACAGCTCCGCCGCCAAGATGTTCCAGCCAGAATTTCCGATTCCTTAAAGGTTCCCTGAGCTGCCGGATAGACGTCCGTTCCCTTCAGAGATTTGAGAGTCTGCTCCTGCCGGCAGGCGTCTTTAAAGACCATGGGGCCACACCACGCAGTGGCCCCCCTAGCATGTGGTCTAGAAAACGGTTGGACCAACATGTCAGCTGCAGCAGCGACTGGTCTTCGACCCCTTCCTTGGCAGGGGGCACCCTCCTGAGGCCTCAGACTCACGGCACTCCAGACGTGCGCGCTGAGCTGCGGTTATTGACCTTGAGGCATAAGCTCTCAATTGCCTTCCTTTGTTGTGTGTTTTCTAGATGGGACTTACCCGCTCGATACCCAGGAATTGCCCCCTCGGATGTATCCTGTTCAATTGGGAAAGATTTGATCCGGAAAAGCTGGACAAACAGAAGGTGATTATGCTTTGCAACTCTATTTGGCCACAGTATGTTCTAGATAAAGGAGAATTGTGGCCAGCCAATGGTACACTCTCCCTTCCAACCCTGCAATAGCTAGAGCATTTTTGTGGTACGATGGAGAGGTTGGTGGAGATGCCCTATGTTAAAGCATTTTTCCTTTTGAGGAGCTGCAAAGATCTTCACTCCCAGTGCACCCAGGACCCCCTAAGGGACCCTGGATTTAAGGGCAACTATTACCCCAACTCTGAAACAGCCCTGACTATTCTACCTGTAGTCGAAGCAGCAGGGGAATTTGGTCCCCGGGCAATTTACAAGCCTTTTACTCTAATTGAACTCAAGCAAATTAAAAATGACTTGGGCAGTTAGCCTAACAAACCCGAACAGTACATAGAACACTTCCAGAACCTCACCCTAGCCTATGATTTAACCTGGAAGGATGTAATGGTCATACTGGACAGACTGACAGACTTTGAGAAAGAATGAGTGCTCAAAGGTGCTAGGAAGTTTGCAGAGGAGTTAACATGTGATGAATGAAAAATACCCTGTAGGGGAAACTGCTGTACCTTTAATAGACCCTGCTTGGAATCATAGTGAGCCTCAGGACAAGTGGGCACGGGAACATTTCCTGGTGTGCATCACAAGTGGACTAAAGTCAGGTAGGCAAAAGGCCATTGATTATGCCAAGGTGAAAGCGATTCACCAGGGACCTACAGAGTCTCCTGTAAGCTTTCTAGAGGGGCTAAAGGAAGCCCTAAAGAATCATACTGCTGTAGATATAGAATCCTATGGGGGCAAGTCTTGCTCAGGGACAAGTTTCTCACACAGGCTGTACCGGACATTCACAAGCAACTCCAAAAAATAGTGCAGAAGCCTGAAGGCGCTACCCTCGAGGAGATGGTTGCTTGTGCTAATACAGCCTTTCACAATAGGGAGCAGGAGGGGAGGCTCGAGCCCAGGAGAAGGATAGAAGGAAGGACAGTAGGCATGCCCAGGTATTGGCTGCACCCGATAACCGATGCCCGTTGAATGCCTCCCAGGTTTCTCAGACCTTTGAACCAGGTACCAAATGCTACATTTGTCGGCGACTGGGTCATTCGGCTAGGAATTGCCCTAACCAGAACAAGCCTCCTCAGATGCCATGTGTCCATTGCAAGCAGACTGGCCACTGGGCTGGCCTCTGTCCTAAGACCCAAAACCTGGAGGGAGGCGCCCACAGGCCAGCGTGCAGCTGATAATGGAGGAGGATTGAAGGCGCCCGGTCCGGATGGCCCAGCAGCAAGAGATAGCTGTTACTGGTCTGGAACCTAAGGTGAGCATTGATATGGCAGGAAGGTCAGTGAACTTCCTTTTAGATACTGGGGCCACCCTCTCTGTCCTTAATTCCTTCCCTGGCACCCCGTACCTGCTCCATCCTGGGAGTATCATCAGGAAAACCTGCAGTTAAACATTTTACTGAACCTCTCAGATGTCTATGGGGTAACTTCTATTTTTCTCATAGCTTCCTAGTAATCCCTGAATGTCCAGCTCCTCTCCTAGGCCGAGACATCCTGTCCAAGTTACACACCTGCATAGTCATCGGGCCTCATCCTCGTCCCTCTACAGCTTTCCAATTGTTCCTCACAGTGGAGGATGGCATTTCATCGCCACCCCAGGACAGATGAGGGCTACACAGATGATTCTACCTCAGACCCCTCACAGCCTTTAGGCCAGTAAATGCCTTTACAGTGACCAAACTCTCATGCCTGTTAGTCCCAAGATTTCTATTGATTTCCTGTGACGCTAACCTAACTTCAAGGGCACTGCCACCTTACAATCTTACCCTTGTCTCACTTAAACTGTTCACCTGTTGTCTGTTTTTCCAAAAGTTCTCAGGTTACCAAGGCCTCTGAACCAAGGGTGCCAGCTCCAGGACCACCGTCTCCTGGGCCCTAAATGGACAACCCCTTCTAACAGAGTAGGAAGGGTATGGACCCAAAACCCCACTTCACCCCCTTTGCCAGCAGGAAGTAGCTATAGATGTCGTCACCCAGTACCCCAAATATTTGGGTCCATATCTCTTCAGGGGGGAATGTTAAATAGGCTAGCGTAGGGCTGGGGGATGTCTGTTAACGCATGCCCAGAGGGCCAAGCTACGGAAACAAAGGAGTGGCACACTGCGTGGTGGGCACTGAACCTGGATTGGCCCACCTAGGCCAGGTAAATTCAATTCAGCCAATGGGGTCAGTCAGGGGTCGTCTACCACCCCTCCCCATGGAATCCTTGTAAAGGCAGGAGCCCAGAGTCCAGTGACACTTTTTTGCATGACACTGAGCAGCTTTGGGAGGAGTCCTATGGGTGCCATGTAAACCCGAAACTTCTAACTCTCATAAAGCTCACTTGGATCACAGACCAGGCTTCGGCATGAATTCTTTCTTGTGTGGAGCCAAGGACAGGTATAGATCTAGCTCCAGAGAGATCTAACACTTACACCTTACTTCACCCAACCTGGAAGAACTGGCCCTACAGAACTCATTGCTTCCCAATGTTAATCCATCATACAATGCCTCCTTTCTAACAACCTCATTACTCTTACTCACTCTCCCTTCAACACTCCAATCTTACCAGTAAAAAACCAAATGGTCCAGGACCTGTGCCTCATTAATGAAGCTATTATCTCCATACACCCAGTAGCTCCCGACCTCTATACTCCCCTGTCCCACAATCTCCCTTCCACCATACCTTTTCCCACCATCCCCTTAACCCAGCTTGTCAACATTCCTTTGCCTTTACCTGTAGCCCCTCCTAAAAGATTGAAAGCAGACACAGCCCAACTCCCTTAACTTCTCTCTCCCTCCACGACACACTTCTCATTCCACTGCTATCTGTTTAACCCTGTGTCCCACCCCCACCATTCCGTTTAACTGTAAGTCAAAGCTGCCTTTAACAAACTCCTATAGGTCCTCATTCACCCCCACCCCTGCCAAACCTTTTTTACTCTACACAGGCAAAAAACAAGGTATAGCAGTTGGAATCCTGGCTCAGGCCCTGGGGCCTGCTCTATCCCCTATAGCTTGTCTGTCTAAGCATCTAAATATGACAATCAGAAGTTGGCAACCCTGCCTCCGGGCCCTGACGGCAGCCACCTAAAGAGCCCTAAAGTTAACCTGGGGAAAGCCTGTCCCCACAGGCTGCAGGACCTCCTCTCACACTGAGTCCTGTCTTTGCTGTCTCCAAGCCGCTTGCAGGAAATCTATCTCATGTTTATCGAAAACCCTAACATAACTGAGCCAGGCTCCCTCTTTAAACCCAGCAACCCTCTTGCTTCAGCTCCTAGACTCGCTAGAATTTAACAGTTACTCCTGCCCCAGGCAGTTGAGGAACTAACACTGCCCCACCCAGACTTTCTGATCAACCGTATCCTAACCCAGATCTAACTTTGTTTATTGATGGCAGTTCTGTCGTAAATGCCCAGGGGCCATGGCAGGCTGCATACACTGTCCTCTCACTTGACCAAGTCTGGAAAGCTGCATGCCTCCCAATAAAAACTACTTCTCAAAAAGCGAAACTTGTTGCTCTCACTCGAGCTCCCTATCTAGCTAAAGGAAAAAACAGCTAATGCATATTCTAATTATGCGTTCCTTATAGTTCACTGTCATGCCACTATCTGGAAGGAGTGGGGATTTTCTGACTACCAAAGGGTCCCCCATAGTAAACGGTAAATTAATAGTTTTAATTAATTAATCTCTTACAGGCTCTTCAGCTGCCAGCAAAAGTAGCCATCATCCATCGCAAAAAAACACCACCCTGATTACTCTTGTCTCCCTCCAAAGGCAGTTAACATCCTTAGCACGAGTCACCCTACAAAACCGCCAAGTTCTTGACTTATTAACAGCAGATAAAAGAGGAACGTGCATGTTTCTAAATAAAGAATGTTGTTATTATATTAATGAACCGAGCATAATTAAACAAAATATTAAGGTGCTCCGCACCATGGCCAATCAAATCAGGACACGTCAGTGAACCACCACCAGCTTCTCATGGTTTTAAAATCCTGCCATGGCCTGGGTTAGGCCCCTCATCTGGCCTCTGATAATAATCTGTGTACTTTTGCTTTTAGCTCTTTGTGTGTTTAGATTCTTGCAGGAACGGATGTAAGATATCTCCAACCTGACCTTCAATCAGCTTCTTCACCCTTACAGTTCATGGCCTACCAGCCCAGCCCCCAAAACTTCCAACTCTTAATCCCCTTCTTCGACCTATCTCAGCAGGAAGTAGTTAAGACAGAATATATCGCCCCATTTCCAATATTAAGAAGTTTGGAATGTTGGGTCGAGTTGGAACTAGGCAGCCCCCATTTGGACTAAGCTGAAGCAGGTTCGGGCCCTGCACGTCCCAGAGGTCAGCAGCAGTCAGCGCCAGAGAAGATAACAGGTGAAACCTGATGTTCCCTGTTCAAAGAAAGCCTCCAGGAGTCAACAAGCAATTCTCCCAGTCTCCAGACCCCATATGCTAATTGCCATACATTCCTCACCACCCCTTTAAAACCCTCGCCCCAGCTGCTGAGCATGACTTCCCTGACCTGTTGGCCTAGGTCACGGAACCTCGTCCAGGAGCCCCCTAACCCCTAATCAAGCTCTTACTGCTTCTGCTCTCCCTTGTCCCGCCAGTTATGCCCGTCTTCCTCCCTGTTCTTCAGTTCCGCCTTTACACTGACATCTCAAAGTATTAGAAATCAACAGATATACAATCTGCAACAACCCATTCAATACACAGCCTGGACATTCAACCAAGTCCAAAGCCCTTGGCAACCACATTATGTTCCTGAGGAGGGCTGGACAACAGACCAAATCTAGACCTCGGTGTACCACTCCTCCCACTGGAAGGAAAAATGCAGCCCGCTGAAAGGCTAAACCCAAAATACAAAACCCACTGCCATCCATTTCAACTCAGAGCGACCCTGTTGGATAGAGCTCTGCCCTCCCGGCAATACTGACCCATCATCACAACCCTGTAGGACAGGGTAGAACTGGCCCTGTGAGTTTCTGAGACTAACGCTTTATGGGAGTAGAAAGTCCCATCTTTCTCCCTTGGAGTGGCTGGTGTTTTCGAACTGCAGATCTTGCGGCTAACAGCCCAATGCATAACCACTAGGCCACCAGGGCTCCTCGCTCCGCTAATCGGCCCCCTTAATTGTGACTTTTGTTGACGAGTTCTATGTGGCCATGACAACGAATTACTGCACCCTGCCTAGAAGTAGAGCCCTGTGGGAGAGCAGACGGTGTCTGAATAGGGTAAAGAATGACGAAGGGTAGAGACATGCCCGACCTCTGCTTTGTGGCACCAGGAAAGCCCAAGGAGGTCAGTTACAGCCCCTCCCTGCTGTGAGCTCCGTGGTAGTCTTCAGCCCATCTCAACCACATGCAGGGTACTTTCCTCCAACCTAACCCAGAGTACCTTCGCCCTTCCCCTCTGGAAGGCTTTGCAGGAGGAGGTAGCATTCTGGGGCCGCCACCTCTGTTAGGTGACCAGCCAAAGCAGCATGGCTGCTGCTCTCACAAGTTGTGCACCTGGGCCAGGCAACAAGTGGGCCCTCATGCTGCTGAGTTAATTTCTCCCCAAGAGGAAGTGAGTCCTAAAGTGGTTAACATACTTGGCTAACGTAATCAAAAGGTGGGCAGTTTGGGTCCACGCATAGGCACCTCAGAGGAAACAGCTGGTGATTGCTGAAAAACCAGCCTTTGAAAACCCTACTTGGACACACACATCCACCTGCAGGGTCACCCTGAGTTGGAACAACTCAATGGATACTGGTAATGAGAAGCCTCCCGTGAAGGAGCTCCTGGTGCCTCTGCCCAGGGAAGCCAGTCTAAGTGGAAGATGCCCTCCAGACTCCATGGAGCAGTGAGGACAATGTGAGTCCCCAGTGTGTCTAGGCGGAGGCACGTTGTGTTGTTGGTTTATGCCAAGAATGGCGGAAGTGGTAACATCTGACCTCAAAGTTGATAGTCCAGGGACCAGGGTGAGTGACAGCACAAGCAAAACCCTGTCTCACCCCAGATCTGTCCCCTCTGCCAAGCCTCAGTCTGTCTTGCTGCTGTATAGCCTCCACGTCTTGCCTTGCCTCTCGTCTTTGCACATTATCCAGGAGCACATAGCACTCAAATCCAGC